TTACGACCTGGCCCAGGATTTTGTTGACAAAACTGCGTCAAACAGCTGGTTAGATCGGGGATGCCTCTTTGGGGAGACGGAAGGATTCATGATTGCCATACAGGATCAGGTCATAAATACTAAAAACTACAGAAAACACATACTCAAAGATACAACACTCACAAATGACACATGCAGAAAATGTCACATCATGCCAGAAACCATACAACACATCACTTCTGGTTGCAAGCTCTTGGCACAGACAGATAATTTACATAGACATAATGAAGTAGCAAATACATCAAGAGTTTGCAAAGAAACATCAAATTATTAAACATCCATGAACCATACTAGAACTACATTCCAGACAGTATTGGAAAACAACGCGCACAAAATGTACTACGACAGCCATAATCATAGATAAATCAATTTACCACAATAGTACTTACCTTTATGTCTCATTAACAAACACAATAAAATCATATAAATTATAGACATATCTGTCCCAAACACTCACAATGTTCAAAACACATGCAGTTAAAAAATCAGCAAGTACACAGAACTCGTCCAGGAAATAAGTCATCTAGGGAGGATGGATAGGGTTCTTATTATACCTGTCGTTCTCTCCTGTACAGGTGCCATACCACACACGCCTACACATAAGCCTGGAAACATTAAAATTGAATAGAAACACATACATCACGTTACAGAAGGCCACTATATTGAATACATATCATATTGTTAGGAAATTCCTGAATACAGACACACACTGACACACTTATTTAATTTTTGTCTTGTTTTGGTTACTATGCTGTGTCCGGCATAATACACAGCCATCGATGTTAACCGAGTGTAACTCACAAAACTCAACATAATAATAATAATAATAGATTTATGGCATTACGAAATTCTACTAATAGTATCATATCATACGTTTTTGAGGGGAATAACATTTTGTTGTGCCGTGTTGAGTCATGTCGAGTCAGAGGTGTGCCGCGAGTAGAAAAAGGTTGCAGAACACTGGTCTAGATGAGGCATGTTAGACCTCGTCCTTGGTCACCAGGCAGCGTGTGAAACAAGCCTTCCTAGTGCCCACGGACAGAAAGAGAATTCATCGATGGTTTTCACTTAATTCGTCTGGGTCCATTCGAACTTATCACTAACACTTCGGCATACAATTATCCATAATTTAATTTAAAACAATTATCATCATTTATTATTTCACATTATAAAAATTATTAAATGATAATTTTTGTGAAGTTTACACATTTTCCTTTATTGTTATACAAGTAAGTTTTAGAGATTAATTACATAATAAATGTATTTAAAACTTAGCTTCAAAAACTTAAATTAAAATATTTTAATTTAAAAGTGATTAATACATAAATTATTATTAAAAACAATGTAAGAATAGCAATAACACTTTCAAATAATTGAATGTTGTCTTATTGTCTCATTTTTTAGAATTACTAAGGTTCAGTATTGTGAGAGGCCCATTATGGACACAATGTTTGGACTATTATTTTGATCTATTCCAATTTCTTTTTTCAAAAAATGACTAAGCTATCACAGGTAAAGTAGGGGCATAATGAACCCTACTTTACATTTATTTGTTGAATGATATGCAATAAGCGGTGCGAATAGTGCATTCGCGTCACTGATTGCATCTCGTACAAATCCACTGATTTATATGATAGTGCAAATGCGCGATCATCAAAAGTGGGTTTCCAAACTTTTTGGTTGGCGGACCAAACTGAGCATAAGCCGTAGGTAGACGGATCACAATAATTTTACATATTCCATATAGAAAAATTAGGTCTATTTTAATCATTTATAAGTGATGTATCAAATATGTTTGCGGTCGAATTTGGCCCGGGGTCGTAGTTTCGGCAATAACGATGTAAATGACAGATCTGGTTTTGATAATTATCGAACGACGAGTAATGTTTTCTTCCAAAGACCTGTGTGACCGTAGGGTCGGTATCTCTTCGATACCCCGTCAGGATGACACCACTGTATCCTTCGGTCGATACAGAGACCACCAGTTCGCGCGAGCGGATAGGTATGAGGGTTGGACCCGGAGTGGAGAAACGGAGAGAAAAACGGAAGAAACTGCACTCGAGAAGGGTTTAACATAAACAACCGTTTATTTATATATCTCTAACGTAGATTTACATTAGTAAATAAAATGCGAACATAAATTACATGAATCGTGTTCAGTTATCATTTTCTAGTTCTAGTTCTAGTTTCAGTGATCATTTCCTAGTTCTAATCACAACCGGTTTCGCGTTTAGNGATACGCAGATAATAAATAAACTGCCATTTTTAATTAAAAAATTTAATGTTTATTAACTAAATTAATTAAAATAACAAATACAATTACAAAGTGTGGTAAAACTGTTTTTAACCGTTATTTCATTACGAAAGCCATTAAAAATTCGTGGCCAGATTACCAATGCAAAGTCAAATTTATTCCCTCTCGACGTATTTTTCAAGATGGAGTGTCATAATCTAAATTTTCTCACTATACGCTCCCGAAATCGACGTTTTCGTCCAGTAATTAACTCAAATTCACATTATATTTCGTCTTGAAGTTATTTTTATGACATTAAATCGATTGCAAATAATCATAATAAGGTATTATTGACAAAAACCATGTCGTCGTTTTTATATCCTTTTATAAAAATGGATTTTAAACTAAACGATTTATCTTCGCTATCCACACACATTTGGACTTCTTCTTCCGGAGTATTTTTAATTTTAAAACTTACGCGACTTATGCGTCTGACGTCAGACACATCGGGCAAATGAGACAAACTATATTTCTCTATGACGCTCATAATAACGGGTATCACTAACAACGAATGAAACGCCGTACTTACGATTACTAAAAGTACTATTTTAAAACAAATGATTAGCATATAAGAGCTGCTGTAAAGTAAAACGGAAACCCCGATAACGGTCGATAACGATCCCTGAACAATGGGCATACCGACCGCATAAAGGGCGCTTTTCATCTTATCGTTGGAATTTCTATGTTTGGACATCCTAAATGCAAAGGTAGTGTGGGCCGGATAATTAATAGACAAACCGATGCCCAACAGTAATATAATCATAGACATTAAATCTAATTTCACTCCCCACAATGCCATGTAACCAACAGTTTCGATTAGAGTAGATATCACCGCGATAGATACGCATACGGCACACTTGACGTTTGGAATAAATAAAAAGAAAATGGCGGCTATGAGTATAACGGTGGCCCAACCCGTCTGAATAACAATAGAACGAATAAGCACAGACTGCTCGAAACCCGGAAAGAATATAGAGTGAACGATGAGCGGTAACGGGGAAGAATCCGCGATGTTCCAAACATCTTGCAAGAGCTTCTTCTCTTCAGAGATGTCGTTGACATTTTCACACAACAACAAAAAGCGCGTAGAAGTAATTTCCGTTAAGTTTTCGTTAAAATTGATGTCTTGTTTGAATTGTCTGGCTAAGGGAATATTCAAAAAGACTTCGTTCAAACTGTCGACGAACTCTCGTTTGTCCGATAAATCATAACCGTTCAATACGATTTTACTAAAAGGCGAGAGTTGGAAAAGATTAAAGAATTTTAACCAAGAAATTCTATTTTCCACTCCGCTTATAAAAGGATGATCTTCAAATTCTTCAAGAAGTTCGTTCACTTGTTGCTGTACTCCAAGATCGGCGAAATTCATTGTTTTATTAATGGCAACGTGCAATATGTAAGGGTAGCGAGTGAAATATTTGTAATAAATTTTTATCGCCAAAGCTAAATCCGAATCGGAAGAAAACGCATCGGCTAGCTCCATGCCTTCTCTCAAAAATTTAAATCCCCAAATTCCGAAACCTAGAACTGTGATGAAAACCGCAATAATAATAATTTTAACGCTATTGTACCTTAAAAGACCTCCGAGCTTATCTCTGAAAATAGTCATTATATAATCTTCTTCCACCGTCTCGAGCTCCTCGTCTTCCATAGAAATCCTTTTATCTACGATAACAGAAGAATAAATCAATTCAAATAGAAGTCATACATTACATCAAAAATTAGGAAAAGTTAAAGTATTATTGTTATGTAAATTACGCTACTCACCGACTTTAATACACAAAAGAGGGTGAAGATTGAGATGTTCTCGATAGCCACTCATTGCTATAACGGATCCGAAGAAAAAAATTAAATAGACGAAAGTAAAAAATATGCAGATTGCGGCGTAGGAACAGAATATCTGCATGGCTTTATAAGGACTGAGGACGCCGATACAAAATGCTAATAAATTAGTGATGGAAGTTATAGTCACAGAAACTGCCGCTTCGGAATAACACTCGGCCATTCTCTTCGATACTGACCATTCTGTTTTCGTTAACCTCCACGCTGCTATGAGTACGTACGCATCGTCTACCTCCATACCTGAATCAAATATATTCATTTTAAATAATTTTACATAAGGAATCTTATCTAATTTGACGTTTTGTATTAAAATTTTATAATTAATTTTAAAAATGAACAGCGAAACATAGAAAGTAAACAGAATTTTAATTACCTAATATTAAAAATGGCAAAGCTATGTTAATGTCGACGTAGGTCAAACCGCACAGCATAGCAAATCCAAATGCGGCCACAATTGCCAGTATTGCAGACACACAAGCAAATATTCCCAAGAGTGGTTTACTCCTAATCCAATCCGAACTCATACAACTTATAGAAGAAAATATCATAATGACCACGGCTACGATTCCCGTGAAAGGAAGCATATTTGACGAAAACTCTTCTAATTCTTTCTCCACGGAAGAAGGAACAAACACGTAAAGGACTAATTCGTCGGATATATTCTTTTTTAACTGTTCTAGAAGAGTGTTTTGCCAAGTTTCTGATATTAATTGTTTGTCGACGTCACCGTTGAGAACGTAAACCAGTCTCATGGCTCTGATATCTGTAATGATTCCGTTATCGTCGGTATTCACTCCGCCTAAATTTATTACAAAGGGCTGAAAGACAAAAGTGAAGGGGTCAAAGTTGATGGGATATTTAAGTTTTGAATTTTTTCCAGTTATTAACGGCTCTAATTCTTTTAACGTATTGCGAAGACATTGCCCTTCGTTAGTAGCGCAGATGTCTTCATATTTAAAGGTGCTGTGGTTCAGAGTTACTTCCATGTTACGAATTTGTTCGTCCAAAGTCAATATTCTGTAGAAAATATCTTTTTTGATCATATTTCCACCGTCCGAGGCCGTAAACATGACGTGTATCGAGTTTTCGGTAGAGATAGCTCTTATTATATCGAAATTGGATGAATAGTTCATAGGGAATAGTTTTTGAAGGTTTCTCATTTCGGTCATCGCTCTTCCGTGCTGGACCGAGTACAGAATAGTGGGATCGCGTTCTAACTTTATTCTCAAGAAACCAAAAGAAAGTATCGCTGTTATAATAATAGGAAATGCGAAAAAATAAGCAGGTTTCTGCGATATTTGACGGCCGAGACGATAATAAAAACTAGACAATATTCTTTGAATATAATTAAACTTCATGGCGACTTTAATATATCCTAAAATTGAAAATATTGAATAATAAATAACATAACTCGTTGGTAAAAATGTAATTACATTTGAGTACCATATGAAATTTAATGATTACTTTAATGCAATAAGTAAATTTTGTAATTTAATCAAAAATTTATATTGTAATAATAAATAAATAATTAAAAACTTCCCGTGTCTTTATAAAAAATAGTTTAAAATGAATATTTGATTAAGAAATTATATAACAAATGTACTATGATTTACCGTTTCGCATTAATAACTTCAAAATATTCTTATAATCTCTAACCTTAAAAACGCGTTTTCTTTCTTATTTATAACTAAAAATCAAAATACTTATTATAATTGAGTTATTTTTACAACTTACTTTTTCAAGCTTCTTGTAAACTTTAATTCTCTCACTCGGGCAGTATATATAAGAAATAAACAAAAGAAAATTTGTGACGTAGATCACTTGGATATAAATGGTTGGCTTAATTCCAAAGGAAAACATACCTATGACTTTTCTACGTTTCCTCCGAGGTTATTTATTATTTATATGCACGAAAGTTATCGGTAAATATAAAAAATTATTATTAACAATAAATTCATTAAATACTTTTAATTAACGCGCTTCAATATTAATAAGAATCATATTTTATTTTGAGCGAACAAAACTAAAAAGAAACGTTAAGGTAATTCTTAAGGAAACAATTAAAATTTCTATTCATCGACACCGTGACGTCACGTTTGAAATAAAGAAATACACAATAATAAATGTCAGCTCATTGAAGTTAACGCAAACTGACAGTTTGACAACATCAAATTGAAAATAACATTAGCAGGTTCGTGCGCAGACTTTATAAAAGGTTAAGATTTAAAAAATACATTGTAATGTAGTTGATTGATTTTTACATTATAGATAAATTAAGAAGCACGATACAGTAACGGGTACAATCAAAATAAATGTAAGTTATATATATTGTACTGTTTTATTATCTATACTAATATTATAAAGAGGTAATATTTGTATGTAAGTAAGTTTGGATGCAGCAGGTAATCTCCAAAACTACTCATCCGATTTCAAAAATTTTTTCACCAATATTTAGAATGGAACTTCAGGGTGGACATAGGCTGTATATTATTCCGTTAAACATGGGGGATGGACAGTTCTTTACGGTAAGCCTTACGGGGAAGGCTTACCGTAAAGAACTCTGCTTCTATTTATACTATTTTAGATGCGG